AAAGGTTTTCTTATTCTGATTCTTATTCTTGACCATCGGAAGTTGATAAGGACAACTCAATTTGGCTACGTGAAGCAAGGAAGCTGACCAAGAGAAATGGTCTAGGAGATATTTTGAGAAATAATCAGGTCATACTGTTTTATTATAATTTCACGGCTTTTTTTCCTTTTATTTTTTTTATCTATTTTTTTAACCAGATTTCCCCAAAGGAAATCATCTGATTTTCAACATTGATGGTGTGTTACTACTCAGGTTGAAGTGGCCATTCCAACCACACTTTTGTATTCATTTCAAGCAGAATTGATTTTTCGTTTGTGTATGTTTATAGTCGAAATTAACTAAATTGGTACACTGACTTCTGAAATTAATTTATTCTGTGACTGAGTTTGTAGCTCATTTTATCCGTATTCTAAATGAGTAAGACGTGACATTAGGCGGTTGTGTTGTTCTCTGCCGCCTTCTAGTGGAGATATATCTGAGGCTTGCTGACATTCATTCTACACATTCGACACTGCACATAGATGTTAACTAAATACTGTAAACGCAAAGGATCAAACGCATGCGGTATGTATTTTCCTTAAAACTTTAATACAAATGAAAAATACTTAAGTGTATTTAATTGGACTTAAAAAAAAAAAGCTACTTTGTTAGCTTGGACATGTAGTTGTTGTTCTGCGTATCACTAGAAGGAGCCCATGTACCACTGGTGGCACTCGTACCACACTTTACAAAACATTGGACTCAGAAAAGTCTTACGTTGCTGCACTTGTAAGTCAAGGTACCACTGAAAATTCACAACTGAAAAAACCATAAATTCACTTGACCTGAAAATCTGGTCAGTGTAGGAATAACTTCAACTTCCCACCCGCCCCTCATCCTCTGTGTCCTACAGGCTCCTACAGAGACGATGAGCAGGTTTTTCCTCTCTCTCACACACATATGCACCGGCTATTTGTTTCTAGTATGTGGTGTGCCACTTTTATTCAGCGTAAGTAGTCAGCGGTGTCAAAGGACGATGAAAGGATGGCCTGTTTGTTCTCTAAATGGGTGAACAATAGCAGTGCTATATGAGAACCAGAACGGGTGGGAATCCATTTTTCATTTAAATAAAATCAGTAAAAAAAAAAAAGTCTCATTTGACGAATAGAAAAAGTATGTGAACTTAAACAACCATCGTTGCTGTTTATGGTAAATCCTGTTGGTGTCCAAAGCACGCTTGCTGCTGACACACAGGAAGACGTCATGCTAGCATCAAAGCAATGTGTTTCTCCTCACTGTGTTTCCCATTATCTGTGCCGAAAACGTAAAGAAACAGACACACAACTCCCTTCGCAAGAGAATTTGGCCTCCTCTTTCAGCCAGCTATTGAAAATGCTGTCACCGGTCTTGCTCGTACTAGAATGGCTGACCGTGAGGTGAGCTGGTTGTCTGCTCCTTGCAACATGTTTGCATGACGGTGATAGCAGAGGCTTGATGTGCTTCGGTGATGAGCCAAGTCATGGTTTGCACACAACTATGCTCTTATCCTCGCTTACATCGGGGCAGTTAAAAAAAAAAAAAAAAAAGTTATGTAACTGAGAATCTCTTGTTTATCAGTGTGCATCTTGTAAATCAGTGTATCGGTTCTTTTTTCTCACCGTGTGAGTTCCTTCCCAAAGCAGTTAAGTGTGTGGTGTACATGTTTGACATGTACTGCCTGAAAGATGGCTGCGAGATGTTGAGAAGTTGTGAGCCCAATACCTCTTGTTGGAAAGAACTCCCACAGAAAGAGAGGCCAGAGCATTGACAGCGTCCGATTCCTCGCAGTCTCGTCTCTGAGCATCCAGGTAAGACAGACCCAAAGAGCTACTGGATGCCTTCACACTCTGCCAGTACTGACCTGACACACACACAGAAATGACGAAATCATGCAGTGGATGCTGACTGAAACGGACATGATTATAGTGGTGCACGCCTTGACCACCAAAGGGAAGTGTACGACAGACATTTTTAATAAACAAAGAAGTGTTTCACAACTAGGTGACTCAGTAAGGTTTGTCGGGGGTGTTGCAGAAGATAAAGAATATATGACTGAGAATTGTAGAATTGTCTGACGACACACGAGCTTGTGGTCAAATATTGATCCCTCCATCCATTTTCCGATGCGCTTATCGTCACAAAGGTCGCGGGGGGTGCTGGAGCCTATCCCAGCTGTCTTTGGGCAGTAGGCGGGGGACACCCTGAACTGCTTGCCAACCAATCGCAGGGCACACAGAGACGAACAACTATCCATGCTAACACTCACACCTAGGGATGATTTAGAGTGTTCAATCAGCATGTTGTGGGAATGTGGGAGGAAACCGGAGTACCCGGAGAAAACCCACACAGGCTCGGGGAGAACATGCAAACTCCACACAGGGAAGCCGGAGCTGGAATTGAACCCGGTACCTCTGCACTGTGAGCTGAACGCGCTAACCACTGGACCAGCGGGCCGCCGTGGTCAAATATCCTTTCGTTAGTGTCGACATTTTGCTAGCAAGATTTTGTAAGGTATAGTTTGGTTGAATACACAATGTGTCATTTTATTTGTTTTATCTTTAAACTTCAACTGGCCCTTGATCAAATTTTTGATCTGCTGTTTGTTCTGAAGTTCACAGGCACCATTTGCCCAAAAACTAAAATGAGCGACGGATCGTGTTTTATAAAATTCATAAATCGGGTCACTAGCAAGTTGAAGTTCCACTTTATCATAACGGATTAAATAGGATTTCTCACTTTGAATTTGTATGACCGTCTGCAGGGAGCAGATGGCGTTAGCATTTGGTTTCTGGAGCAGGACCTCTTCGGATAGTTGGTCCTACAGGACAAAGAGGACACGAAAGAAGGACAAACACATCAGGAACCTGTTTCGTCTCACATTTATGAATCCAGTTTAGACACAAACGTCATGGACATTTACGTTTAAGGGTAAAGTGGTCGCATGGGGGGGATATTTTTCAAAAAAGAACACCATTACCCAGCATGCCTCACCTGTGCACCAAGAAGGGCACTGACACAGGCTTCAGATGCATCGCAGATGGCTGTGAGGTCATGACCTCCCTCGAGGGACAAAACCAGACGGCCCCCTGCTAGAGACATCAGCTGGCGAGTCAGGAAGCTGAAACCTGTGAGACGCAGCACATGCAAAATAACGATGAGACGCAGTGACCAAACCGAAGTGACGTTTGCCTTGCTGTCTTGACGTAAGCTCAACTACACTTCCCAACATTTGTTTAAGACGAGTATATATTTTGACCTCCCCGCTGCACGACGCCAAAAAGCAGTCACTGTAATTATGGTCACATCAGAGATGCAGTCAGGGATGCTTTTCGGGCTGAACTTGACAGGAGGTATAATAATCTATTAAAACTCTCCGAGTATGCAAGGGGCCAGGAATGAAAGTTACTGGTTGTTCAGGGAACAGTTTTGGGCTGAGCACATGTTGAGAGGCTTTGCTTACATTTGGCAGACACCTTGTACCCCCCAAGAGGTGCAGGGTTGCCCTCGGCAGCATCAAACCCGGCGGAGACGAGAACGACGTCTGGGGCAAACTCTTGGGCGATGGGCATCAACACGGTCCTGTAGTTGCAAAAAGTCACACAAAGTCCGTTTGTCAGCAGTTGAGAGTCAATTAGCCATCGTACCATTTAGCAGGGCATGACACAAATCCATCCATCCAACCATTTCCCGATCAATGCAAGATTGGTGTTCAGGAAGAGCGGCAGATACACAGTTGGATGCCAGCCCACAACCCTCACATCTTGCTTGTATAACCTCCATTTTTCCTGCTTGATGCTATGAGGTCAGAGTGGCCAGACCCTGCACTCCAGAGTGGGGCACTCAAAACAACTTAACAACAGGACATTCCAACAACATTGTGAGTTTCAGAACAATATAAGTGTAGCAGAGCGCACTTGGGAGTTCATTTCTGAACACATTCATGGTCTCGATACTTTATGAGTCGTTTCCCAGTTGATACTTGTGAGCGCATCGATATATTGATACCACTGAATCGATAGGCCCATCATTACCAAGAAGTAAATACAGGAGGCCCTTGTTGAAGGTTTCCATTGTACTGAACGTTTTGGGAAGAGTGGAAGGCTGTTGGCAAGACACGACTTGAGCTCAGCGCAGTCGGCAAAGTTCAAAGCCAGAATGAGCGAGTCTGTTTCCTATTAGAAGCCTGTCACTCTCCTCACGTCATTGACAACGTGGAGAAAAAGAGGAAAACAGTCCATCTGGGATCCATTTACCTTCATTATTCTGCCCCGGGACTTTGGAGACTCCCCCCCCCCCCCATCTTCTTTGTATATATATA